ATATATATATATATATATATATATGTCAAATTAATTGTTGGTTTGCTTCTTATGTTAGTATGCCATAGTGTAATGACATTTCCCATGTGCTCATTTGGACATCATAAAATAGGAAAGCATTGTACTAACTTCTAATTATCAGCTGTTGCCCCAAGTCTTTTATTAGCTTTCAGTTTAATTACAGTTAAGGGAAGGCTGCAATGCAATGAAACTATAGAAAGTCTTTGCATGATAAATGTATGTTCTCGCTTCATTATGAACTTTGTTTTGCTGTGATCCTAGATGTTAACAACTACTCTGTTAGATTAAAGAGGAAGCATGGTCTTGTTTAAAAACACCTTGTATTTTTTTTACACAGATCACCACATGTTATGAACCTGAACTCCAGATTCATTCCAACACATCAAGGCAATTAACACAGCTGCCTTTATTCACAAGGAAAATCCATGCGCTAAAAAGGTAAGTTGTATGTGCCACATAATTCTGCACAGGCACTTGTCTCACTGGTTATCCATTTCTAGGATCCAAGTAGTAATCTTTGCCCAAAGTGGCAGTAATAAATTAAAACAATACTATTTATTACAGCAAGTAAAAGCAAAACAATAATAAAATTAAAAGTGATGCCCAGACAAGTCCTTAACTCAACTATCAGTAAAAGTTTTTTACAAAATAAAAATGATGGCTTGGTGATGAAGCCCAGCTAGTAATGATGTATTCTTGGGGTGGGGCAGAACTCAAGTTTCTTCTTCCTCCAACATTGATCAGCACTGTTGGCCTATGTACTTGGTGAGAACATTAACTGCATGAAGCAAATAGGGCGTGTTGCTTATTGCTATTTCTGAGTATCTCTAAGCAGGACATGAGATATTCAAAGCACGAAGAGGGCTTCTGCCGAAGTCCAAATAGGAAGGCAATACAAAGTTAAGCTAGATGTTATCTTGAGAAATACTAGCTCCCAATCTGCAATTGGTGTAATAATGCAAGAAGTAGAGAGAAGCATGTACTGTAGAGGATCAATCAGAAGGAAGAATGTTCAGTTCCTCCTGTTCCTGACCGCTCTCTCCCTGACAATTTTTCTTCTTACCTAGCTGGGTAACGAAATGTTTGCAAGAAAACAAACAAGCTCAGAGAACCCCAAGGACTCCTCAGTTTTTCTTCTGTAAAAGTAAACTTAAAATGCCCAGAAGCAATTGCATGGGAGAACTGATCAGCAGAGGAAGAGAGAGAAAAGCAATTCTTCCTTTGTGCTGTTTCTGCCCTGCAAGCCCAGCTACTCTGCATGTAACATAAAGTAGTGATAGAACACATATTTAGTATGCAGTAGGTTCACCTTTCAATTCCTGCCATCTTTTGATAGGGCTGGGACAAATTCTCACATGAATCCTTGGTGGTCTACTGACAATGCTATGCTAGATGAGCTACTGCTCTGGCTTGTTCAAATAAATGTTTGGGTTCAGCCTTAGTTTTGCACTCATGAGTTAGCATGAAAGGTGTTTTGAAAATGCATATATGCATATAGTGCATGCAACTTACCAGGGTAGCAAAAAGATGATATAATATGAAGTAAATAGCAACAACAGGTGCCCACATATGACCCACAGCATTAAGAGTCTGGTCCATGACATCTACCCATCCTTCCTGGGTCAAGATTTGAAACATTGACATGAAAGCCTAAATCAAAACATAAACGAACAACCCAGTTGGATATCCTTCACTGAAATAAGCACCATATCAATACCAACCCTTGTGACCATAGTGACAATCTGGTTAATGAATTAATGGTTGGCTTTTGGCATCCTGCTCTGATGGTATTATTGGTATAAACTATATGCTTCTCTTTATTAACTGGGGTTCCTAATATCCCAAATATCATCATGCTTTTTAATCCAAAACACATCACAGAATCATCAGCAACAAAACTTTGTAAAATCCAAGGAACACTACTGCATTTCAGAAGTACAATTGTAAAACCACAGTTAAGTACCCTTCCTCATTGTATCTATAGCTAGCAGGCTATATTTCATCAGCGTTTTCCATGTACTATTTGTCAGATGTAGAAAAAAGTTTCCCAAGTTTCTATTCTCAAATTTATATCTTCTAGTGTGGCACAGATATTACTTTCAGATAGACTTTAATCATAACCGGCCTCCATTCAGCTGTAAGCGCTAACTCTGAACTCAACTCTGTATCTGCATTTGAATGCAGATCACAATGTGATTCTCAGCCTAACCAACATAGTCTAAACCAGTGTTGTGCAAACTTGGCCACTTTAAGATGAGTGGACTTCAACTCCCAGAATTCCTCAGCCAGCCATACTGGCTGGGGAATTCTGGGAGTTGAAGTCCACTCATCTTAAAGTGGCCAAGTTTGCACAACACTGGTCTAAACTGACTGAATCTTTCTACCGATCTGAATGTTTTGGATCTTTGGATCGTATAGTAAGACAGAGAAAAGAAGACTAATATAATTTACATTATTCGTTAGTGGTAACTATCTGGTTGCAATATTAAATGATGCTGCATTGATTTTTGAACATTTTTGAAAGGTATCATCTTTTCCTCTAAGAAACTCAAAACCACCATTTAAAATATGCTTCATTCTAACAGTGTTCCAGGATAATTAAAACGTTTCCTGTAAGTGACAACCTCTGCATTGGAAAAACATTAGTTTTAAGATAATACAGCTGTATATGGTGATTTTAACTTTGGAAAGTAGCAATCTTTGTTTCAGAGCAAGATATTTTTAGTTGAAAGATATACTTCCCACCAGTTATGCTAAAAGGAATCAGAAATGCAGCTATCTTGCTGACAGAACAACTAACAGCTGTGAAAATGAGACCTGCAGATTTATGCAAATGGGGAGTTTTTTTGAATTAATTTATGTGTGTATGTGTGTGTAGAGAACTCTTCAGGTTTATTCTAATTGTTTTTAAGATTAATGGTACTAATCATGGTTGTTCAGTAGCAATGTCTTACTTTTAGGTCCAATGTATAGCTTGGCAAATATTAAATATCAAATAGCTAAGAAACAGAATATTTTGCTCCCTTAATCAATATATCATCTCTAAGATATATTATCCAGATCAGCTCAGGGAAAAGCTACAACAGAACTTGTTTCATGTCCCGATATATTCAGCCCTCTTCCCTCACTCTTTGGAACATTGTCTGAATGGTGGGGTCAAAAAAGTCAAGATGGTGGCCACAACTATGTCATCAAAGCCCCACCTTTTTTATGTTGTTGTAATGCATGTAAAAAAGGGACAGGGCTTTGATTATATGGCTGTGGCTGCCATCTTGACTTTTTTGACATCCACCTCTGACCACATCTAACGGATTCAGAAAGCACTAATATATAGGAAAAAAATGGGGGTGGGGGTTAGAAGGACAAAATGCAGAATAACTTCCTACCATATTAAACATTATCTAATCAGTTTCATTTTCTGAATCTAAAGTAGTATCTGAAGATTCAATCTTGGATCCTATAGTTTTTGTAATATTTTATAATTTTCATGAATTCCTGAAGACTGGAGATTTGCCTGTATTGAAACAAGATTCTAGATCCCTTTATAAGTTAGTCTATGTTTATATTGGTATATGTTCAACACAGATCCATTTATTTCACATTTTAACCATGTCATGTGTTGTTTAAAGCAAGAATATTAAGAAAAGGCTCTTTTTAAATATATTATTCCCATTTTCTAAAAAAAAAGTCTCTGGAAAAAAAATCAGAAAAAAACCTAAATTTTTCTAGATTTTTTTTTTTTCCCAGGAGAGGCTTCACATCTTTAATTTGAGTGTGGTATTAATCAGAATACATCTCTATTTCCTAAAGTAGCTATACCCTATGAAACTATTTCTTCCCAAACACAGAAAGCACAGTGCACAAAAATACTAAGATTCTAAAACAGTTTGAAAATGCAAGGCATATTCCATATGTTTAGTTTGAACATAATCTCAAAAATTAGAAATCACGGAAAAAGAAAAAGAAGAAATATTATATGTTACAAAATCTGATTTTAGAAGCCAGCATTCACTTGAAAACAAAATATAAGAGGCCTTGCAAGATGAGAAAAATGGGCTAGAGAATGCTGTAGATGGTAGCCATGGCAACCATAAGCTTCTATTTATTTCTTGTTTGTCAAGAAACCAAGTGAGAGCATGGAATTTAGAGGCATTAGGGAATAAAGGTGGTCTGCCTTTTCTCTCAAAAAGACATAATGTTCCTACAGCGCTTGTACTGTAGTCTTGTACTTCAGCAACATTAATGGACGTGGTAATCAATTGTTCTCTTTCGGCTAAGTGTACTTGCCTTTCGGCATCTAGAGCAAAAGATACCATGTCAGAACATGTTGACCATTTTAAGTTTGCCCTTACTTAGAGGGGAATGGGACAGTGCTTTCTGCGCCCAGCCAAAGTGTCTGTCTTCCTCTTCTCTCTCACCAAGGAACCCAAAAGATTTGCCCATAATGAGTGTTTGGATACTCAGAGCCTCTGCTGCTACGACCTGGTCACTGGTCTGACATCTCAAGGACAAATTTTGAAGAATGAAGGAGATCAGTCGTATATCATCGACAGAATGATCTCTTACATATTTCTGAAACCACTGACAGTATATTAGTGGTCAGCATTTAGTATTAATATTGTCTGACCAAGATCTTTATGGGATTGGGCCATACAAAACATTTTAGCAGAAAGAAATATATCCATACAGTTTCCAATCAAGGAATCACAGATCTAAAAGGGAAAATCAACTATGTGTAATACAGGTACTATAGGTATGAGCAACCTAGGAAGTCCAGAGCACCCAACCAATATATGGTGGCAAAACTGTTAATTTTTGTTGGCATAATATTTCATAGACTTTTTTTCTGCAGCCCCAAACTACAAAATTGGGGTACTATTTCCACAGGGCAACGCAGCTATTTTGAACCAAAAAACAAACAAGCAAACAAAAAACAAATATACAACTGAAACGTTCAGTAATAAAAAAAAGTGGCCAACGTTTGGCTCTAGTCTTTCTGGAGATGTCACCCTGTCACTGTCAGACACCCAACACTCTAGGAATGTAAAAAATTACAAATGGAAAGCCAAATGCAAAACCTATCTGGGCTACAGAAAAAAAAAAGGCCGCTCCAGTGATCTGTTGCTACATTATGGTCACCACTATTGACTTGTTAGTACCACTAAGGTTGTGGTTGAGAAGAATTTTATTATTTAGAACTCAAACAAAATTCCCTGGTCCCCTTGCTTCTAGAAAAACAAAACAAAACCAGGAGCTGAAGAAAGACTCAGATTGGCTCCACCATACAGTATATCCAATTTTTCTGACAGCCAGTCAACTGTAAGAATAATCTTGGGGTGGATGGAAATGTTTGTTCTTTCTTTGAAACTTTCTCAGAATAAAAAAAAAAAAATGCTTTACCATATTTAGTTCCTTTTTGTAGTCAGCACATCAGGTAAAAAATACAAATCGTACCTCACTGTAAATTAAACATTTTTTCTTTCTTTCTTTCTTTAATACCGGCATCTGACCTTGTGAATCTCACAGATAGGCTACCTTTTATAACTTGATTTTGTTCTACTGAGTAGAACATTAATTTGTGATGCCCTGTTAACACCATGGCCACTATGCTTGTCATAAAGGATGGCTTCATATGCGAAACTAGAGTTAGAAGCATGAACCTCTGTTGGTTTTTTAGAACAGTCCCTGTTGCTTGTCAGTGTCTAAACTCTATTATATTCTAAAGGTGTTTCCTTGGCTGGGTCCAAAGGAATAAGATGTTCTATCTGACATTTATCCTTATTTGTTTTTTCTGGGTTTACATGCCAACTCCAAATAGCAGAGTAGAACTGACTGTTTATCCAAGATTGTGACTGCCACTGAAGCCACTTGAAGAAGAATTCTATGAACATCTGTGAGAAAAACAGCTAATTCCTCTGAATTACATTAGTATTAAGGTTTAGGAAGCACAAAAGACATTAGGACAATAGGGAGAATGCAAGTAGGAAAAAAAGTACAGTTGGTGAAGAAGTTTACAACAAGCACATGCCATATTTGGACAACAGATAAGTTCAGTAAGAAACTATATAGCTCTGGTATAATCATGGGCATAGCTTAGGAAAACACAGAATTTAGGATATTTAAGTAAGTGGTTTCACACCAAGTGGAACTGAACATCACTGGTAAATCTGACCATGTTAATCCTGAGTGAACTCTATGCACACAGAGCTATTTTCCTATATTCTTGCTTTTATTATTTTATCCTATTTAATTAGGATCTTGTAAGATCCTAATTATTAATATTCTAATAATTAGGACCTTACAAGAAATCTTTTCTTACAAACAAATCCTTAAGATACAGTTTCGGCTTTGCCTTCTCAGGATTGCTTCGGGGTTAGTGCCATCCTGCTTCCTGGGTTTTAGAGTTTGGCCAACTTTATACTCAGGACCCCCAGTAGGAAGACATGCATACAAATATTCTTATATATTGTCTCCAAAGCTGTTAGGACTTGGCATCAGGCAATAAAAATGCTGTACACATTGCTTTATTCTGAACTTTTTGGGGAGAGATATAACATCTAACACATACATTCATAATTAAGTAGTCTCATAGAGCTATTCTTGTCATTTGACCAGAGCAAAATAAAGGGTCAAAGGTCAAATATATTTATAGCAGCAGCAATAAATGAACTCAACACACCACAGAAGAATAACAGATGCCTAGGACCTGGCATTAATAAGGTTAGAGTAAGAAGCCATTTCTAAACAGCCATAGTCTGATTGGTTGGAATGGAATTTTTACACTTACCCTTGGAAATGTGGTAAACCTGTCTAGTTCTTCCACAAAACAAAACATTTGCAAACTAATGGCTGACATTACAATTAATAGACTGGCAGTAAATACAACTAAACTCCCAAGCTTTTTTCCGGGTCCAAAAATCTTGTATACAAAATCTTCCAGGGCAGGAGAAATCTTTATAAGCCGAACAACTCTAAGTACCTGCAAGGAGAAAGGAAACATTTTTTACTGATGCAGCTGCAGGTTGACAAATAAAACAGTTTTTTTTTTCTAGTAACATCCAGGGCATGCATCTTGAAAAATACAGGTGGAATGGTTTCTATTATGGCTGTGCAAAACATTCAAAAGAAGATGTCCGTGCAAAGCATTTAAGGAGCTGTGCCCTTTGAAAGCCTTGCTCAGCTGCTTTGAAGCTCCCCTGGCATTCTGCGCATCTCTTTGCCCGCTCTGCTGATTCACTCCACTGGCAGTCTCGTGGCTGGATAGTTGGGGACAGACTTTGAAGCAGTTTTATGAGGTTTCCAAAGGGTGTGGCTACGTTAATGCTTGGGGAAAGGATGCTCTGTTCACACTATCAGGGTTTCCAAATCACCTAGTCTGAATGCTTTCCTAAGCCATAGGATCTACATTGATTAAATGTAATTGTTTTTATATGATTTCAGGTTGATGGCCAAACTTCTAGCACTTCCATATCCATACAACAGAAATCTGTGGTGAATTATGGCTCATCTCCCTCCCTCCCTCCCTCCCTCCCTCTCATCTGTTTCTAAATGGGAT